CAGTATGTAGAAAAAAAATCAGTTTTATACTAAAAACATATTAAAGTATGCAGAAAAAAATTCAGTCTTATGCTAAAAAAAATAAAAATATGTAGATTTTTTTTTTAGTCTTATGCTAAATAAATATTAAATAATTATGTAGAAAAAGAGCTGTGGTGAAATGATTGATTTTTTAGCTCACTTGGTCCAAAGGACCATGGTGAGCTTATGCCATACCGCAGCGTCCGTCGACCATCCGTCGTCCGTCTGTCAACTTTTCCTTTAAAACGCTACTAGTCCTGAACGGCCAAGTAGATTTTGACTAAATTTGGTCTGGAGCATCCTTGGGCCAAGGGGACTCAATTTTGTATAAATCCCATTGTGTGATTACTATTACAGTTATTTATCAAAATAGTTATGATGAATATTACTACTGAAGGAAAAGTCCAGAAATTCAGCATGTATAAAGATTACATATCAGAACAAAAACTTTTTATTTACACTTGTCAAAATTTTTGACGGGATGTATTAAGGTATTGAATTAGCCTGTCTCTCTGTCCGTCTGTCTGTCCAAACTTTGGTTTTGGTAGGATAAACTGCTTAAATATCATTCGATTTTGATGAAACTTAATTAAGCTTGTACAGTATGACTAAATTTGAAGTTGAGCAAAATGCTTTCTGAATTGTCTGTTTTAACTGACAAAGTTTCTTCATGTGAGGTAACTAACTGGGTGACCTTGAATAATAACAAGAACAGCATGTGTCGGTTAAGTCTCTATCCTGTTCAGAAAGTATAAGGTTGGTTTTTAGTTCCCAACCAGTTCCTGGCGGGGGGGGGGGGACTATACTAGGTTTGCTTTCCATCTAAGAAGTTTGTCCGGGACATATCTTCTATGCTATTTCACATGGAGTAACCAGATTTGATGAACAAGGACATCTTGGAATTGCGAAGTGCAGAGTGTGAGAATTAGGTCACTGTGACCTATGACTTGACATTTGACCTTTACATTTGAAAAAGTTTGTCTGGGGCATATCTTCTATACTACTTCCCCTGGAGTAACCATGCAGTTTTGGTGTACAAAAAAATATTTTGGGATGGCAGAGTGCAGTGGACAAGAATTAAGTCCCTCTGACCTATGCCTTCCCATTTGACCTTTACTTTTGAAAAAGTTTGTCCAGGACATATCTTCTATACCATTTCACCTGGAGTAACCAGACTTGGTGTTCACGGACATCTTGGGATGGCGGAGAGCAAGAAGTAGGTCACTATGATTTCACTGTGACCTATACTACCTGACATAAGTGTACTGTTTGTTAAATATAGAAATCATTACTGGTGGGGAACTATGGATTGCCTTGCAATACTTTGCCTTGTTGATTTTATCTTGTTTAACAATCTATTAACAGCTAAGGTCATTTAAGGACGTGAAGAACAAGGTAGCAAGCATCTCAGGGATATTGGGACCTCAGAGAACCAACTCTAATTCTACATTACAATTTCATAGTCAAATGCAATTTCAGGCTTAAGGATATATGCTACCTTTGTGATATGCATCAAAAAGAGTTCTACACTAAAGAATCTGCAAAATTGGCCCTTCTGAAAGGTGCGCATAATTGATGCCATTTTAAAAGGTAGACAGGAATTAATGACACATTTAGAAAAGAACTCTGGTATTGATGACAAACTTAAAAAATACACAAGAATCAATGACATATTTGAAAGGTACACAAGCATTAATGACCTAATTATAGGTACACAAGAATTGATGACATATATGTAAATTGCACAACAAAGAAGATTTGATAAGGGATTAGTAATTTTGAATCATATAAGTTGGTACCACTTAAATATACCTGAAGTATACATTGTAACTAGTAATGTAAGAAAATAGTTTCAGAGCTGTCACAACGTTAAACATCTGTCACCAGGTTCAACAAATGCCGTTAAATATCACAATTCTTTGACAAGGTAATTGAAGCATGTGTGTCCTGTTGTGTGTTTTTTACTGCTATAGTGTATCCTATTAAACAGTTAAATGTAACATTATTGGGTGTAAGCTCTGGCGGACCTGCAAATGTTTACACAGGCCTTGCAAGGCTTTGTCAAGCCTCGCCTGAAAGCAGCATCAGATTACTAGGTCTGACCTTATTTCATAAACAAACAACTCCGGTCCAACCGGTTCAACCGTTTGGATCGTGATAAATGAATGTGGCCTAACTAGAACATGGTTTGGAGCAGTATAGAGGTAGAAATAGAGAATTGTCTCCCTTAGATTGTAAACTTTAAATAGCTGTTCTGAAGTTTTTAACTTTGAGTCTATTGATGACCACTGTTTTGCATTTGTATTGTTTGTCTGGTGTTATTATGTGAGAAATTGAAAAGAAAAGATTTGAATGATAAATAAATGTACATTGTAATGTGAAAATATTCTATAAATGAAAAAAAAAAAATGTAATTCGTCTGGGATTTTAAAAATTACATCAGAAGTTGACTGAATGTATATACATGTATCTTGCCACACAGAGTAATTAATTTGTAATTGTCTGTTTGTGTATCAGAATTGATACCCTTGACCTCGGATCATTATACTAATGGCTCTAACCAACTGAGTTACCTTGTCAACAGTAGTAACCTGGCCGAGTCACTCTATAGTTACATGTATATCTAATTAGCTCATTAACCCCTAACATTTCATAATGAGTTATTCCAACATTTAAATAGGAAGAGTTAAAATGTGTCTTGAGGGGTGAATGAGTTGAATGGAGTGTATTGTATGTACAAAAGTTTACATTGGAATGTTCTCTTTAGTGTTTTGCCTGAGGGTTCATACAATTTTACTTTTAACTTCTGTGTTAATTCAGGAAGTCTGCTGGAAATTCAAAGTGTTCAGAAATACATACTCAAATACAGCTGTTGGTTATTATGTTTGTTCATGGATAAGATCATTCGTATATCACTCTCTATGTTAAAAGATTCTATAATTGCCTTCCAGAACAACACCGTACCCAGACAGAATGGGAAGATGGCTTCACATTTAAGATGTCCCTGTTCCAGTTTGTCAACTACTATTCCTCCATCTTCTATATTGCATTCTTCAAGGGCAAGTAAGTATTGGTTTCAGCCTAGTACCACATTGACAGCCTCAATACAGAGGTGAAAGTCTTGGTAAAGGTCACAAACTATAGCTAGCTAGTAACAAAGGTCACAGCCTCCTTACAGAGGTCACTGTCTTGGTATAGAGGTCATAGCCTTTTTACAGAGGTTAAATCAGCAAGTTTACTAGGTGAATTGTTAAATTTAAGAGGCCAAAATCAGCAGTCTCCTTCTAAAATATAGAGAGTTGGCAAGTACCAAGTACGCCAACGAGTTGAGTGAAAAATTCATTATCACAAATTGTCAGTATGAGAACACTGAGAAGAAGTTGAGAGCAAATTGAGAACAACTTGTAAATTGATTTTCCCACTTAAAAAAGTTTTAGTTTATCACAAATGGCATAACTGCTCTTAGTATCAATATAAAAGTGCTCTGAAACAACTCCATTTTAAGTGTCAATATGCATATGGAGCAGCAAATGACAAGAATTTGTTTTAAATTATGTTTCACCATGGTTTTACAGTATTCCTCCGCGAAAAAACTTGTATTTGTTAACATTTGTCCCGGACCAAGAATCTCAACAATCACTAGACGTAAGTTAGAAGATATTGTACTCGGTTGATGTTACTTTATGATTGGTGAAATGTATCAGGTTTTATAGGTGATAAACAGTTTATCACATCATGTATTATCAAGGTTTGTTGTGTGAACAATTTTCTCATCGTCGCATGTGGATACAATTTCGACTCCACAGTTGCCTCTTGATTTTTTAATCTATAGATATCCAGTTTCTGTTACACTCTAGTTTTCATCTCATACACAGAAAACTGATGATATGGTTTAAGTCTCGGTCAGTGACTAAGGACCCGAACGAGGAGAAAGTGTACTCGAGGTGGGAACAGGACTTTCATCAGGCCGACATACCCAACATTGGACTATATGATGAAGATCTTGAAATAGGTAAACATAGTTTTATGCCTTTTATAAATTCAGTTGATTAACGAATATTCAGACAAAAATAAAATGAAACCTAATCTCATTCTTGTCTGGACATTTGCTTTCTGTAAATAAAAAAAAATCTGTTATTGAACCACTTTGTATATCATTTTTAGTTTCTCACTGATACTACCAGAGGGAGCTTTAAGTTTGAACTCTGTTACTCCGGCCCTCTGTCCTGTACAAGATGTCAATGCCTAGAACTTGAGTGTTCTGTATAATTTAATGCAGAATGTGACTTGAATTGATGCAGATCAATACAAAGGCATGCATGTTCCCTGTTTAGGATTGATTAACTTATAAGGACTGTCCAGATGATAACAAATCTTTGAACAAATGTGAAATCAGTTCTATCAACATAAATATATTACTCTTGTTGGTCTAGATGGTCGCATGCATAGAGTCTTACTGTTGGAGGAAACCAGAGTACTCGGAGAACATAGAGTCTTACTGTTGGAGGAAACCAGAGTACTCAGAGAACATAGAGTCTTACTGTTGGAGGAAACCAGAGTACTCAGAGAACATAGAGTCTTACTGTTGGAGGAAACCAGAGTACTCGGAGAAACTCCACATGGTGGGGCAGGTGACCCAATACCTGTTCACCTCCAATCAGGGGAATCAAAACCCAGCTGTCTTTGTGAAGGCTAGTGCACTATCCACTGTGCCACCCAAACCCGTTAATAATCAACATCATTGCATCAGGACTTTCTGTTCTTGTAGCCCAGATAGAAGTCTGTGTCTAATTATAATTTCTGTTCCTTTGACAGTGATCCAGTATGGATTTGTCACCATTTCTGTGGCTGCTTTTCCATTAGCTCCTGTGTTTGCTCTTATCAACAACATTTTTGAGATCCGATTGGATCCTTACAAATTNGCATGAAATATTGTGGCTACTACATGCAGGCACAAGACATTGAAACAGCTAAAATACATTGGCTAGTGCATTTGGAAGTTTTAAAACTGTATATACTCAAATGAACATTGGAAATTCAATTTCAAAAGGTTAAAGATTGAATATTTTACAAATTAAGAAAAACAAGAGTAGGAATTCCTGATATATTTTGCCAAAATTTGTTGATTACTATTTCAAACTCAAGAATGTAATATATAATTATCTAATATTTGTGTATGTTTAATTAAGAGCCTTTTTAGATATACTGTACAGTAATTATTTTTACACGGTTCCACAAGTCAACAGTTTTGTTTTAATACTTCATGTTTTCTTTTTCAAGGCAAATGGCATATGTCCCCAAACTGGTTTACAGATATGGCTACAGCGCGGACCAATCAATGAAGGGCTATGCCAGTTTCAGTCTGGCAGTCTTTAATGTAAATGACTTCCAGGGTAGAGAGTGTACTGGATGACCCCCAGTTCGATATCTTTGGAAATGTGACATACTGCAGGTAAGAAAAATGGGCTGTATTTGTATGCCCCCATAAAAGAAACATGCTTTATTCTGACTCTCTGGAGATATTTTAAGGGCCACGGATCAGAGATACAGAAAATCTTTACCTAATAAAACTATAAGAATTGAACTTGCATAAAAAAGATTCTCATTCATTGTGTATTCTTTTATTTCTTCAAATTTTGACAACATTTATATAAGTTCAAAAAAAATCTCATGTAAAGAATTTTGTTATTTATCACAACTTAAAAAAACAGACTTTGAAAAAAAGAAAAAAAATCTATTTCACTGTGAAAGTAATGAAAACCATGATGATTAATCTATTCTGTAGCCTAGATACCGCGACTACCGTCAACCGCCCACAAATTACGTAGGAGATGCAGGAGTAGGCACGGGAGAGGAATACACATTTACGCTGGTCTACTGGCACATCCTGGCCGCCAGGCTTGCTTTCATTGTCGTGTTTGAGGTATGCTTAATCCATCTCCTTCAACAGATAAATAGAATATTTCCGCACCTAGGGGGTAAGGCAGAAACATTTCAACTCCTGGGCTAAGATAATTAAATGTTAAGCTCAAGGGTCTCTGCCAGACATTCCAGAATCTTACCCAGAGGTTTGAGATTTTTCTGTCTTACTCCTAGGGTAGGGAAAATTATTTTTCTCTCACTTTCGATACAAGTAGTGATTGCATGAAACACAAGTGATGGTCGCATTTTCGTCGAATAAATCCAATGAGTTATCTTCTGTGGTCTACTATTGTTGATGTGACGTCAGTGCAGTGTTTATGTGATGTCCTTGTTCAAGGGTAAGACAGAAAAATGTTTCCCTGATCAGAAGTGTGAATATCTCTGTCTAATGGGGGAGAAAAGGGGGATTTGTTTCAGAAAAAAAGTATTTTTTACACCTCCAACTTTTTATTTAGGAGGTTGTCGGGGGCGTACAGTATTTGCTATGTCCATCCTGTCCGTGATTTTGATATCACACTTTATACGAAGGTTAAGTATACAAATACCTCAGGTTTCATAGTTTCAAGGTCGAGGCCAAGGTTATTGTCACAAATAGAAAGTTTTCATCATCACTCTATAGCAACTTTATTTCTTTATAGATTTTAAAAAGCATAAAATAAAGAAAGACCTGTAAATATTCAACTGATTTCTCTGTGTTTGATAATACCTTCATGAGTCATTACTGGGAGCCTAGGTCAAAGTAACTTGTATTATATATAGAAAATTATCAACAATTCAAACTTGTGTTCTATTACCTTTCCATGGAGGCATTAAATGTCATTTTCTAGCTTTAAAGTTACTTCATGTTGTATATGTTTCTATATCTGCAGTTCAAATTAAGTTCGTTAAAATGTAAAAGTTTTGACATAAAGACCATTTTTTCATTGAATTCACTTCAATTTTCAGTAGTTTTAATTCTCTGTATTTCACCTTAATTTACAGAACTTGATTGTATTTGCAACCTGGTTGATGATGTACCTCATCCCAGACATGCCAGGATCAGTGAAGCTTCAGATGCTGAGAAAAAAAATCTTGGCCAAGAAGGCACTTTATACAGCGGAGACAGTAACGAAGGCAGGATGTGGCGATGATAATGCCACAAATGCCAACAATACGCAATTTTACAGTGTTTATCTCCTAGAAAAATGATAACCGGGAAAAGGTCTGATACAAAGGAGGAGTATTTGCCCATTTACTGACATCAATCAACAAACTCTACCATTGTGTGTTTCAGAGTTCTGTTCATCAGAAAGCACAGGAAACAAATATTTGATATTGCAGAATTTTCTGGAGACAATTTGTATTTCACTGTATATAATTCAAAGTCAACTGTTAACTTGTGATTTTTAGAATAATCTGTGGTTATCATAAATACACATTTTTGATTTTTTTTTGCCAGAATCTCAATCTGACAACAAATTATACATTTAAGTGTTTTTCTACGCAGCCTTAAAGGGATATAATATACATCTTGTCACGTTTACGACAGACCAAGTAGCTGTAACTGTAGTGTAGCTATAATCCATTATAACCCAGTACTTTCAGGTTGTAGATATAGTATTAAGTATTAAAACCAAAATCTTGTTATTAGACATTTGATTTAAAACAAACATTGAATCTTTTGTTGTGAAATTTATAGACATATATACTTGTTATTATTGAAGACTGTTAGAAAAAGTTTGTTCCTTTAAATCTAAATACATGTATTTTCTCTAAATATATTATAAATCGTAGTTTTATTCAGTTATATATATAATTTATTTCTTTAAGAGTTTGTGTAGGAAATATTATATTCACTTATTGCCTTATAAACATTATACCAAATTATATATTTTATTAATTAATCTTTCATTGTTAATTATTATAAATATGTGTACCAAAAATATTCTATATGAAAGAAACTTACAAATAGTGCTATGAAAGAGGTTTATTTTCAATTTAAAATAAAATTCAACAAGTAAGATGCTGATGAAATAAATTGTATGATTTCATATTTGACCTTGTCATGAGAAAGGGTCAAATGTCAAAGGTCATATCTTCCTTTTATATACCATTTTGGTCCATTTGGTCTATTTACATGTCTTTATGTTTGTGCTTTGAAAATATTTTAATAGTTTTTGAAACGAGCTGCTAAGAACAAATCATTTTATGGTTAGTAAAACTTCATAGCAGCTTTAATTGTGGAATGTAACACCTGATCATTATCATATTACATTGTTTTCCACTCGATGTTAGTGTCTTACATTTTGTTGAATTTCAACATATTCTGCTAAAATGATAGGGATAATTTTTATTCAAATAAATATTTGTTTTTGATATTGTGCCTGAATGATACTTTTGCTGTTGGATAAATATTTTAACTCTGATTTAAAAATGAGTTTTCATAGCTAACTTTCTCTGATACAATCCCACCTTGTTTTTCTAATATGTGAATTATCATGTACAATGTTTGTATCAGAAACTTTAGTTTAAGTTTAAATAATGAAATTATCAAATAATAGATTTATTATGATTTAGAGTTGTGCCATTTCTATGAACATTAGAGTACCACAAATATTTTTATGACATTTCCTTCCAAGGAAAAACATGTTTTTCTGTAACGTCAAACCAAAATATTGTTAAAATAGCTTGAAACGGTCAAAAAGTAGAAAATTAATACACACAAGAGTGTCCAATGATACGATGTTCTTATCACACTAAATATTTGTCATATACTTATTGTTATCTGTAAAATATCGGGGAACACTTGTACAAACTTTGTATATATAACAAGTAGTTAGCTGCCTTCTACATATTTGTTAGTTGGTAAGTTTAATCAAACATTTTATGATGTTATAAATATATTTTATAATGTTTGATATTGTATAAGGCAGAAATCATTTGGATTTGACAATCAGATATAAAATCGTGTTTGATTATATAATTATCTCCCTTACATCATATCGGACACATTTATATGTATATTAAACCTGTTATATGATTATTCCAATTGCATGTAATTATGAACCAGTATGTAATTAAATCATCAAATGATGCATAGGAAGATTACCGAAAAAGGTCATGAATATTCATATAATTGGGCTAATGAAAAGAAGGATATGCAATGTGAGGAATTTGTTAATTCATGATGATTAAGCTGATGTTTTCTGGAAAGTTTGACATTTGAAGAATTTTCATAAAATGAAGTCATAGTTTTGGTTCTGAAGAATAAGATTACAGTGAATGGGTTGGACTCTCTAGAAAATGATTGGAGGATGGGGATGGGGTGGGTGTTTTGTAAGAATTGAATGTTTTTTTATTCTAAATACAGTAATTTATATTCAGTAAAGCACACACAAACAAATTTACTTTAATGTGTTCTATGACAATCAAGATCAAATGTAAAATACTTTATAGCAGATATAGGAGAAAATTTAAAAATGATGTACAGTGATTGTTGTTTGGTTCAATGAAATAATATGATTGGTTCTAAAACTGTACTACTGAATAGGAACCATATGGTTCTAAAACTGTACTACTGAATAGGAACCATATGGTTCTAAAACTGTACTACTGAATAGGAACCATATGCTAATTGGCAAAAACTCATGAAATCAAAGTATAACAGGAAAACATTATTTTAATACGATAGATACTAGAAATGTTGATTTGAAATGTTATGTTACATTATAACAAGGTGACAGTGCAATTTTCATACTTTGTTAACGACCGTACAGTCCCAATACTTATACAAATGTATATATATATATCATTTCTGACTTTATGTGTTAATTTGTTGTGACAGAAAGTTACATGTGAGGAAACGACTTTTACAAGATGTTATATGGCACACAATGGGTACAATGTATATAAACTGTTTCTAAGTTTATTACTTGTTTATTATCATTGAATGTTTTAGTTCAACAACAAAAACAAAACATTTTGAATTTTAAAAGAAAAGAAATTTTGTTATCTTCATAAAATCAAGCTTTAAAGAAGATTATCTTTTCTGATTTCAAGTCAGAAATTTTTAACCAGAACTTTAAAATCATGTCTGCATATGGTACATACTTAGGGGTATCTTTCATTCATTGCAATTGCGACTGGTTTTCTTTCTGCTGAACAAATATTATTTTTGAGATCAACATTAGAATTTTGTGCCTTAGATTTGAGAATGAAGACTATTACAGCTATTGTTTTTAGATAATAAAGTTAAACATCTTTATGATTGTCTTCCAGTCTTCTTCATTTTATGATCATTCAATTCTTTGTGTGTAGAAAAAATCATCAGAATTGTCTGGTCATTGTGTAGTTTTAACTAGTAGCCATGTTATCAGTATACAAAAGTGTTTAATATTCATATCATATTGTTAGAAGTTGTGTTCATCATTGTTTTCATTTCTTAATATTACTTTAAAAAAAATTCTTTTGATAAAATGTGAAGAAAAGATCTGATAAAAATAGCCCAGAAAGGATAATTTTGATATGCTATGTTATCAACAAGCATATAAGATAGTTTATCAGTTAGCTATCATTAAGATGTTTACTATGGGTAGGTAAACTGTTATTTTAGTCACAAAATATGAAACAGATTATAAATTAAATGTGGTACTCTTCTGAAAGACACATTACTTAGTTTCAAAAATGACTAAAATGAAATCAGAAACAGACTATAACATGATGTGGTAATATACTGTCTAATAAAAAAATAAAATGTAACATTGATAGTTATCAATATAGTCTGTTTCAGAAATCAGAAACAAATTATATCATCGATGATGTATGTTAATATTACAGACAACTTGATAACATTAACTTTGTTTAAAAATAGCAAACAAGCAATGATATTTCTTTCAAAATATTAAAATGAACCAGATTTGTTTCTACTCTGTTTAGTGTGCTTGTTTGTATCTAAAATCAGTGTCTTAGAGCGCAGTAATCGATTTGTTCATTTTTCTAATTTATTTATTTTTTAAATCCAAGACCCTACAACGTTTTAGTGGTTTAGATACTGTGGTGGATCTCTTTGTTAAAAGGAATTCTACATTAAAGGATCAATTAAACATATGTATGCTATTCATTGCATTACTTTAACTCGATACACATCTGTTTATTGTGTTGTGCGTTTATAAGTTTCTGAAGGTCTAAAGGTACGTGTACATCTACTATTTAATGTTAAATCTGATGAAGTGATTGCTTTAACTTCGTCATGTTTTTGTCTTCTTTTTATATAATGAGAAATTGCACAATAAAATGTATTACAAACATATATTGTTTATAGTTATGTAGTTACAACATGGAATTAGATTTATCTAAGTCTCTTGTTTCTATATAAATGTATGAAGTTACGGTACGGAATATTGTTTTCTCTTAACCTGGGCAGGCGTTTTAACACTATCGCTGAGGTAAGGTATCGTCATGTCGGCCAAGGGTGGAGACGTGTTGATTCCACAATCATAACGATTTCATGTTGTCACTTTAAAAATGCGTTAACGTCATGTCAACAACACATTACATTATAATCTGAAAGAATAAAGAAGCACAGGGTAATCATTTCAGGTGATTTAACGTTATGTACAATATTTTTTATAAGTATAAAAAAATCATCTTAAATAAATAAATTACCAAAATTTATTAGATTTTGACCGATAATTCGTAAGTAATTGAAACACAATCGACGGTGCCCTCCAATATCGCAAAGTGAAATCGATATAAGTATACTATAACAAGCGTTTCGAGGGGCAATAGTCAAGTCAAGCTATATATTTTTAGGTCACCTGAGCTTTGCTCAAGTGACCTATTCCAATCGCTTTTCGTCCGTCGTCCGTCGTGCGTCGTGCGTAAACTTTTACATTTTCAACTTCTTCTCAAGAACCAGTGGATGGATTTTTTTCAAACTTGGTCAGAATCATCCTTGGTAGATGAGGCTTCAAAATTGTAAAATTGGGATTCCTACCCCAACCCCTGGGGCCAGGGCGGGGCCCCAAAGGGAAAATTA